TCCCTCAGAACCCGCCCGCCAGCAGCCGGCCCTCAGAACCGGGAGCTGGCGTAGGGGCCGCGTCGGTGCTGGCCTGAGCTCCCCGACGTCCACGGGGGAGGGGTTGCCGATCCTTTTATAGCTGTCTTCGGGCGTGTGCTTCGCTCTTTTAATCCACTCTGGAAGCCGGTTTTAAAATAAATGACTTGAGACTTTTGTAGCTCGAATTCGTCGTGCAGGAGACTCTTGTTCATGTAGCAGAAATAACTTTATTAGCTGGTGTAAGAGTTAAAATACTAGTGAAATGTCTTCCTCACTTTGAGTTAGAGGGATGCATGTCCTTGCTACGGCGTCAGAATGCATCTATTTCAGATACCTAAAGTCTGCAGGTAAGGTAGTCAGTGACACCTGAGGCGCAAGAGGGTCAGTAATTTGGTTGTTAGGCGGCGCTTGATGAAAATTTGGAGACATGTAGAGGATTCGATCTCTTACTCAACCGGTAAAACCATCAGGTGCTTTTCATGTTACAGTGTCCTGTGAGTCGTGCTGTGAATAATGCTGAATGGCTTTGATCAAATCTTCCTTCTTGCTCGGTTAAATTATGACAATCTGTGAAATCGAAATTTCTGAAAATCTTATTCATGAAGAATTAGCAAATGTTTCAGTGTACTTTGTCTGTTATTTTAACAGACAGCCAGAGGAAGTCTAGGCGTTCTATACTCTTTAACTCTTTCTAGCCATTAAAGTTAGAGTAACGTGCAGACGTATTAGAACCATAACGCAGAGGGATAACCCTAGTCACACTGACACATGGAGAAAAGCTCAAGAAATAGGGTTTGTTCAGCCTGGGGGAGGGAGGGTCAGATCCCAGTCTTCCGTTACTGAGACACTAGTTACAGAGAAAGTGGGGGTGCACCCTTGATGAAGGAGCACCGTGGTGGGGCAGGTGGCTATGGGAATGACTTGCTTCAGAGACAATTGTCTGGATGTAGGAAAAACATTCTTCACTGTTGGAGCAACTAACCACAGATGGGTTGCACTGTGGAGTGGTGGAGTCTCCTTGAAGACCTGGTTTGTCAGGGTCCTGGGTCATCTCATCTAAGGCCCTGTGTTCCCCAGAAGGTTGGACCAGTGGTCTCCAGAGGCCCTTGACAAACGAGGAGTTTCTGTTCTGTGATTTGCATTGCCAAGCTGTTGCAGTTTGCCACTGAGCTGGAACAGAGGCTCCAATTTGCCTGGGGTCTTCCTCAGTCTTACTGAGTAATGCTAATCATAACGCTGATTGTTTTGAGAACTCCTGAGAAACTAATGAGCGGTCTGAGCTTATATTTAATGTGTGGTTGTAGTAGCCATAATACATTAAATAGCCAGTGCGTAGTGTGTTGCACATAAAGGCTGTGCAACACTGAAAAAAACACTGTTTTCTGAAAGTTTGAAGTGTCAGTTTGAAATTTCCAGGGTGCCTTAATTTCTGGCTGAGTACAGTCTAAGCCTTCAATTAGATTAATAATCGCGGCCATCTATTTTTTTGAAGCCATGGAGTTTTTACTCAGCCAGAGGTTTTTCGGTTCTCTTACACTGATTTTTAGATCAGTGTTCTGCAGGTGCACATGCATGTCAGTTAACAAATTCTAGGCAGGGGACTGAACCGTAAATCTGTCTTCACCGGTGTGATGCTGAGGGTACTAAGTTTGCCTTTTCGACAAGTTCAAGGTCACTGAGTTCAGCAAGCCTCCTGAGCTGGTACTGCTGCGGAAAGAAGTGCTGTCACCCTTTTGTTCTTACCTCCCTTGTTCCTGCGTTTCTGTGGTTCCATGACAAATTAGATGTGGAAACTCAACTAAATTAAATAGAGACTTGTAAAAAAAAAAAAAAAATCATTTGTCAGTGAGTTGGTTTTGGGTCACTGCACTGCAGCAGAAACAGCTGCATTTGTTGTCACCAGGCAGGGTGGTAGAGGAGGAAATTTTCCACATGGTGGTGGTGAATTCTAACTTAAGCTGTAGTTTGTCAAACACTAAGAGATTAGGTACAACAATAAAGAAATTTGATTTCACATTCTTGACTTAGGATACTGGCTCGGAGCCTTAATAATTGTTTTTGTCTGTAGTTACTGCATGCAGCATCAGCAACAGTCGTTTTGACGTGATCTGGTTGATAGTGTTTCATACATGATCAGTCAATACTGTGAGGTTTTGCAGGAAAATGCAGCTCGCCTGCTCTCTGAAGTCTTTCAGATTGTGGTGCTTCATGGTGCTCTTTGTAGCACACTTACTCAGTTCCTCAAATCGGTCACTTCAAATGCTTTCTGAATTCTGCTGAGAAACTGTAGTCTTTGTCCATGTCTGAAGACAAAGAACTCTGAATCTGTCATCAGAAATGTCTTTACTTGCATGTCTTGGAGGGGAACTTCAGACAAATGATACCTGTTTTGTAAACTTCCAGTAGGTCAATTAACAAATAAATTTCAGCTGCTAAGCTTTGATGCTTGACTTCCTAAATTAATACAAATGCAGTAATTGAAGTGGTAGGAGGCATGAAGAAAAGATACAGCAAAAGTTGTGCTAAACTTGGGAGCTGTCTTACAAAATGCTGCCCTCTGTGGAAATCACTGTATGTAAAGTTTTTACACCTCATGCTGTGTGTCAGGTAAGAGTTGTGTTTGTTAGTCTTAGAACATGTGTACGTTAATTTTCTGTGAGGTGGATAGTGTATGAAGTAAGGATGCAATATTTAGATGGCTCTGTCAGTACCTGTCTCTGTCCGGTGGTGCCAGGTGTTCTTGCCTGTCGTATGTGAATTCCAGCACTGTACGGGCTGCTCCTTACTCATGCTGATACTAATAACACAGAGAATCAGCTCTAAATAAGTAAACTGAAACCGAACTATATGTAAAACCAGTTTTTATATTCATTGATCTGCTATTTGTATTTTTTAAGTATAGATGAGATATATTGTCTGTCTTGTATGTGCAGCCTTGTGGTTTTGGACCTGGTTTGCAGCAGTTTCTAGTGCCAAAGTTGGCATGTTGTTTGTGCCTCATTAGAAGTAGCTTAGCTAGTAACATAGCGTGAAAACATCTTTAAGTAGTTTCAATAAAACATTGTTAAACTTAATGTTTGTGAAAGTTGGTAAATATATGCAAGGTTTTAAGTAATTATTTACTGTAACTGAACAGTAAATTCTTCGGGTTTTTATAAAAGTACTGGTTTTGCTTGAGCTAGTGGGTTATTACCCAGAGTCAGATTTTGGGTTACACATAGCTGATCAATGGGAAGAGCTGGCATAAGCATTGAAGTGTTAATTTTGCAATTTAAAAGACAGTTTTTTAGTCATCGGGGGACTTAAGAATGGCTTAAAAGATACTGTTGTTCCACATAGAAATACCTTAGTGTGCAACATACTTTTTTGGCTCTCTATACTCAAAAACTTTATTTGTAATAATAATAATAGTAGAGAGACATAGTTTAGAATCCAGTAATTACAGAGTAAGTTTACACTTTCTTTCTGCTGTGAATACTTACAGTAATGGAGCTCTATGCTATTCCATGTTGACTTTTTTTTTTAACTTTTTTTTTTCCCCCCACAAGGGCCTTAGAATTGCTGGGAGGGATTTTTTGGAGAGAGGATGTTAGTGTTCAGTATCCAAGCAGATTATGTTTCTGAGAGTGGTATGAAAAGCAGTGCAAAAGTTGAGGGTCAAAGTAAAAGACTGTGTAAAATCAAGTAACTTCAGCTTACCAAGTCACCATTATTTAACTGAGTTGTGGCCACCACTTGTGCTGTGTAATCCTAGGTGATAACAGTTTTGAAGCAGAAGCTGTTGACTTAAGTTATGCTTGTGAATGACTGCATGATGACTGTAGCAGCCATTCAGCCCACTGGTAGGAATGTCACCCGTTGAGGTGGTGCCATTGCATTGAGATTAGTGTCTGCTGCATCGGCACTTGGCTGCTGTGTTTTAATTAGAATTCTTTTGGAGATGTGGTTTGGGCTGACTCACGTCACCATTTTTTCTTTGGTCTTACTGTTTGTGGTTCTGATGCAGAACCGCATGCAGAAATGAAGTGGCTGTAGAGGTTTCTGTCCCCGTGTGTCTCCTCATCTCTAGAGGTGTCTACTGCCGATGGCCAAGGTGGCTCACCAGCTTGTGAGATAACTGCAAATTATAAGTTCCTAAGGAACTTATAAATCCTAAGGAATGCTGGCATTAGCTTTTGGTTTTCCTTAGCGTACTGAACTGTAGTTTCTGCCTGTGTAGCAGCTGTTTCACAATCCATGATCTTACCTGGTGAAAAGAGAGCAAGAATTTCTGGAAGCAGCACAGGCAGACGCAAGTGTGGGTGGCAAAATACAAATCCAGCTGGTTTTAATCTGAATCAGAACTTTGAAGGTACCATTACATGAACATTTTATCTCCTAGCAAACTATCTCAAGTTCCTAACCCAGTGCTGTTGCTTTGGTGCCCTGTCAGAGCAAATAATGCTAGTGTTTGAGGTGCCATGCTGTAAGCTAGATGCTGTAATGCTAGACTGCAATGGTTTGAGGTAAAAACAAAGCCCTCAAAGAAGGTGGTAGTTAACAGGTGTGGTAGCACACGTTTATGGAAGGAAATGAGCTGTGGATAAGAAGGACATTCAGCATGCTAGCTACTTCAGTCCTGTATTGGATGCTTGAATCTGAGGTACTTAATTTTAGATGTTTAATTCAGTTAGTCATCTAGACTCCTTTATACCAAAGGACAAGAAATAAGTACCTCTAAATGGTAATTCATCCTGTGTGTCTGTTTGTGCATTCATTAGTTACAGAGGAAGCCTTGCTGTTTGACACCTAAGTTCTTAAGCATCTGAAATTGGGTTTGGGACACAATGAGAGGCAGCTTCCTGCATTCAGGGTTACCTTGCACTTACTGCATATTTAGAGGATTGTTCTTGTAAGAATTCTTCACAGAGAGCCAGTGCTCCATCTATTAATAACCTGGTTTACTTTGTAGTGTTTTTTTCAGGTAAGCAGGCACTTAGGGTTAATGTCTGAATTGGCATATCATTACGATGTAAAAGGAGGGGTGGCTTATATGAAAAGCCGTGTTGACACAAAGAAACATTTACAGTACAAAGAACATAGTTTTGTCCAGTAGATAAATTTCATACTTTCTGAGCTAGGCTGTATATACTGCACCACTGTCAAAGGCTGAGAATTCATAGATATTTCTGTTTCTGCAACCGTTTGTTAATTTCCCCATGATATTTATGGTGGGAAGTGTAAGTCTTATCTTTTTCTTTTAGGTTGACAATTGCGTTTTTCGCACTCTCTGGTCTGGATATGTTGGATTCCTTAGATGTGGTGAACAAAGATGATATAATAGAATGGATTTATTCCCTGCAGGTCCTTCCCACAGAAGACAGTGAGTGAGTTTTTAGTTTTTTTTTAATTGATATTAACATCTTTACGTTTGCTTTTCACCTGGGGAATAGTGGATGGCTCAAAAAAAAAAAAAAAAAGATTGACCTTCCTGAAGTGCTGTCCTGATAATTTCAGGTAGTTATGTCAAGCAAATCCTAGAAATAGATCCCTTTAAAGTAATAAAGCTATTAAAAGCGATTAGCTTAGCTTTTTTATGTATACAAGGTGAATCTGTGAAATTAATTCGAAGATAAGACAGTTTTTAAGTATTACAAGTCTTACAGTGATTATTTTGACTTCCACTAATTGTATCTATACCAGGAGCTCTGAGCACAGATGTGGTTGTTTGGAACAGCTTTTGAAAAATGGAAAGTGTAAGGTTAAGAAGCAAAATGGATAAACACAGTTCCTGCTTTAAAATGAAAAATCTGTTCCTTTGACCTGTGAAGGTTAAATTTACCTAACGTTTTTAGAAGGAGCAATGCTGTTGCTGCATCCTAGTGGCCCTTGGATGGGAAAGTGCGTAGCAGATCCAAGTCGAGGAGGGAGCGCACAGGACATGTTCCTTTCCTGATCACTTGACAGAAGTCAGGGAGGTGCTGTCTCTGTGGGCTGGTTGGTATTGGCGATTTTTTCTGAGGCAGCACAGGTGAATGGCTAACCGCAGTAGAGGGGGTGGAAGGGAGGGAGATGCAGGTGAGGTGCTGCTGCTTTATGACAGGAGGTGCTGGCAGTGTTAAGTGCTGGCTTGGGGATAGCTCCAGGCTGGTCTCAGGCAAGAGGTAATTCCTCATGCCTGTCTGTAAAATCATCAACACGTACTTTGTATGTTGGATAGTTGTAGAAAGAAAAATGTGCATTTCCTTACCATATTTAGTCTAATTATATACTACAAATTAGGTCTTTTCCCTAAAAACAGTTTGATGAAATAAAAGCGTTTTTATGAAGTAAGCGTATGAAAGTCAAGATTGCCGATGCTTGATTTCTTACAGTAATAAAAAGATCCCTTTTCTTATTCTGTCAATTTATAAACCATCAGATCCACCCCAGGCGTTAGCTTTAATAGATTTGGTTTTTCTCATGTTGTATTGTATCATGTTGTATTGCAGGACTGATTGTAGAAAATCAGGGGTTTGGATCACACAGTTATTCCTGCAGTGTTTTTAATCATGAGAAGGTTCCTGTCCCTTAGAGATAAAAAAATTTTCCAGGGTATACATGCTTTGTTTTTAGAAGTTGCTCACTTTCTGATCTTTATCCCAGTCTTCAGGAGTATGTTCTGAAAGAACAGTGAAATTTGCAAGAAGAGAGGTTAGAATAGGCATTTTTTGTTGATTTGTCTTTGGTTGTATGTAGTAATTCTCAGTAAGGTTTCTTCCTATCTAGCCAATGTTTGGAATAGTCCTATCGTCAAGAACCTGCTAGGGAGGGCAGTGTAAAGCTCAGTGTGGAGATGTGGAAGCTACAGTCCAGGGCATAGCTGAGATGTGCTCATTCTTTTTCTAGCTATCATTCCATCATAAATTTACAGGACGGTAGTTTCGTGGAGGGCACTTTTGGCAGTCATTCTGTGCTTTTAAGTAAGAAATCTCTCTGTTGTACCAGAACAAACTTCCTATTTTTGTGTCACATCATAAGAGCTCTGTTATTGTTAAGCTCTCCTACTCCATGTGGTCACTTGACCCCTAAAACTTCAGTATTGTTTTTATTCCATTTTTACTTCATCTAATGCAAAATGTACCGACAGCAGCAATTTGGATACTGGATGACTAAATGTTCAGAAGGCAATGCATACCCTACTGTAATATCTACTTGCAGTAACATGCATTGACTTTCTGTTTTTTAATGCTGGGTGTGTGCATTATTTGTTAATTGGCAGCCTCCCAGCAGTAGAGCTCTGACTCCCTCTTTTGGCCAGTTTGAAGAAGTAGCTGAACTCTGATAGGCTGCAGCAGTGAAGTTTTGGGTTTCAGAATGCTTGTGCATCTCTAGGAAAAGAGAATGGTTGCTAGCTTGATGCATCAGAATCTTTCCAGGTTAAAAAAAAAAACCAAATCCTTACTCTCCTTTTAAAGAAATATTCTATTGGAGCTTCTCTGACATGCATGCTGATAAATCCCTCTTTTCAGGGAGGGTATGTTATTATATAATATAAATTTCAAACATTTATAATTTAACACTGATTTATTATGTAGCTTTTGGAATTATGAATTCCAATAATTTTGCCTGGAGTGGTAACTATATTGTACTTGGTACAAGTCTTCATTGCTTTTGGCTATGGGACTGAAAACCTATTTAAAACTTAGACTTTAAATTGGAATATATTTTTATACATTCTTGGTTGTTTGTTTTTGATCGCATCACTGGTTGAGTTCCTAAAATGAGCAAAAAGAGTTCCTGTATTTCTGATCAGAAAAATAAGTTTCCCTGCTATTTGTGTTTGTCTGTCCAAAGGCTCCACATCCATAGCATTTCAGTTGATTTTTATTTAAAACACTTTTTTAAGATGGCAAATTCAAATTATTTTGAGAACTACTGCTACCTTACAGTCATTTTTTCAGTGGATGGGAGACAGAACAGTTGATGCTCTACAAACTTAGTATCGGTTTATTTTTATCGATAACTATTCTAGTAGGTGTACTGTTGTATGGGACAGAACTCATTTTATCCAGAATAGCCCATATGCTGTTGTGGTTTGCGTTTATGACTAGAACAGTGTTGCTGACACACCAGTGTTTTAGTTATTGCTGAGCAGTGCCTGCACCCCTTCACGACTGTCTCTTTTTTCCCCTCTGCACCCCTTCTCCCTCAGCCAGGGGACACAGCCAGGACAGCTGACCCGAGGGAAACCCCAAACCATCTGACATGTTCAGCAGTAAAAGCCTTGAGAAAGGAGAAAGGGGGTGATGTTTGTGATTGTGGTACTTGTCTTCCAGAGTAACCCTTGTGCGTGCTGAAGCCCTGCTTTCTGGGAAGTGCCTAAGCAGCTGCCTGGCCGATGGGACGCAGTGCATGAACTCCTCCATTGCTTTGCTTGTGCCTGCAGTGTTTGCTTCACCCATCAGACTGTCTCAATCTATGAGCCTTCTCTCCTTCACTCTGCTTTTTCACCCTCCCACAGAGCTGGGGGTGGGAAGTGAGTGGGTGGCTGTGTTGTGTGCTAGCTGCTGGTCGGGGTCAACCCACCACAGCAGGACGTTACAGAACCTGGTAGAAAATTCAGAATCTGGTATTTTAGAATACTTCTTAGTGTCTCACAATATGTTGTGATCGTTTTAAGTAACATGTTTGTATTTACTGGTATGTGATATGTCTGATGGCTAAAGAAAGCTTAAACTCAGAGGTTTGTAGCCTTTGAAATTTTTATGTGAAACTAAAGCTCATGAATGTCAAGTGGTGAGATCTTGATCTTGCCAAGTAAGAAAGCGTATACATACTCTGTGACCTTAGTTGAAATGCACTAAAGGAAGCTAAAGATTAGGGTCTGCCAGGATGGACTGTATTCTTCTGTGGTTTTATTGTAACTGTGATTCAAATAAGTAATGTCCTTTAGCTAATATAATTTCAGCTCAAGTGCTTTAGAGACCAACTCAATACCAGTTCTAATTAGGAGGGAATGTCACGTCACACATGCCAGCTGACCCTTACACAGAAAGCTGCCATCCTTAGCTGAATGCTTGGTCTCATTGCTGTCTTCTGCTTATTTGAAGGGCCGCTGTCTTCTGTAACTTGCAGAATAGTTTGGCTTTATATTCTATAGATTTCAGAAATGATTACTTTTCCTTCACTTTTACTAAATGGTTTGCTTAGGTGCATGGTAATACATGTGGTTTTGTTTGTTCACTGCAGAAAGACCTCGCTGTGTTTGCTTTTAAGAAGAAGTGGGACTATTTAAAAAGAAAAAAAAAAATCATTTTGAGGAGGGTGGTGCTCTTTTACAAGCCATATCATAAATGATAAGTATTTAGACTAAGATACTTCTTAAAATGCTAGTGAAATTGGAAAAGACCCTGAAGAAGGTTCAGAAGGAACAGAAGAGCCTGTTTCAACTGCTTGTTCCTAAGGTTCTTGTCATGTGAGAGCTTTACTGTTTTCCTCTCACAAAGCAGCTCCTAGAAAGAATTCAAATGTATTTTTACTAGCTTAAAGTGCAGCTCTTGGCAATGTGAGGAAGATGTGTCCAGGTTTCTTGCAGGCCACGTTTAAAAACAGTTTAGCCCTTTTGAAAAATAGTGAATCCGGAGCTCTGTACTGAAGTGGTCTAATTACAGGCACACAGTGGAGGCACACTCCTTCGCTGTATTCATCCACCATCCTCCCCCATAGCAACACTGGCACTTGTTTCACCATGCTTGAGAGCTGGTTTAACTTGTTGAAGTGGAGAAAAAGCATGCATTTATTTGTCTAACAGAGGGTTAGCTTTGTGCTGAGTTGGTGAACTGTGTTGGCTGAGTGCTAGTGCCAGCCCAGTAAGGGAGAGGGAACAAGACTGTGCTTTTTGACAGCTGGGTGCTTCACTGGCTTTGCTGTACCAAGAAGTGGCACCAAAGGGAGGGCTGAGACATAATACATTTGTGGGTCTGAACCCCCAGGACCCATGCATAGCAGGCTGAAAACTATTACACTGTATCAGAGACCTAAAATGTTCGTCTGTCAAAGTCTAAATTTAGATTTGTAATTATTCTTTTTTCTGCCTTACTTGTGTGTTAGCACTGAAAAAAAAAAAGGATGAAATGTCATTGTTTTTGAGATCATTGTTACATGTGAACTTTCTGATCATGAGTTTCTCGAGCAGAAATACGAATTTTCCTCCAACATAACCTTCTTTAATGGCTACATTTGAAGTATTTATCTGGATGTATAATGGACTTCTGTTTCAGAGAACGCAACTTTGCATTTTATGACATATTCAAGTGCTTTGATTTATAGGAATAGTTATATTTTAGCCCTAGTACAGTAAGAATTGCTTATGCTTACTTTTATCTGGATGTACTGACTGTGTCAGCCTATGATAAACCTGTGATTTTTTTATATTGTTTTAAGATTTTAATGGTGTTTGTGAGATTGCTTCTGTACTTAGCAACATGAGAGAAGCCTTGGTACCAGATAACCTGGATTGGGAGGAAGTACTGGTAAAAGTTACCAGTCTCCGTGCAAGACAAATCTAAAAGAGCAAAAATGTCCTGGCTGTTACAAGAGAGGTCCCAGGATAAGCCATCTGTGGTCATCACTTGGAGCTCTGTTACATGTCTTAAAGACTTTCTGGCATAGGCACACATTAGTAATGTGGTTTTTCTTCATGGGAAGGTATCGGCTCATGATTTGGGTGTGGAGTCTTTTGGTTTGGGAACAGGGTTGGTTTTCTTTAGTTCCGTTGTCAAATGTGAAAAGTTTTTCCAGGTATGTTTTGTTCAGCTTGCAATAGTCATGCAGCAGTTGATGGAACGTTTATTACTTTTTGCTTTTTCTTAAGCTCTTTCAGAAAGTGGTTAAATACGCTTAACGCTGACAGTGAACACTAGGTGGTACCATGTCATAACTGCTGCTACAGTTGATGCTGCAGAGGACTGTGCGGGAGCCGAACTGGTCACGCCAGCAATTTGTTACGAGAGACATAAACTGTGATCATATCCTCTTAATTAGGATATGTTTAATTTCTGGTTCTACTTCTGATTCTGTTTGTGGTTCAGGAAAGTAGACAAGAGTTAGATTAATACCACTAAGCTATTACAGAAGAAGTATAGGTACTTTGCAATAAAATAGTAAAACCAACTTTGTAGATGGTGATGTATATAAACTGAAAGACAGTGGCTTTTCTCTAATTTCCCATTAGTTCCCATTTAGTTTTGAACTTGTATGTTCACAGGAAGCTAAAAAAAAAATTGGAGACATGACGTCAATGTGCCAGAGTGATCTGGTTAGAAATGGGCTGTTTTCACTTCCTGTTTTAACACTTCCTTTACCAGCTCAGCATTCTACTTTTTTAATTCAAAAATTATAACTAGAAGTTTAGCTATTTACTTGTAATGCTGAAGGTCTAGGAAGCATCTACTGCACACATGTTAACGACAAAGTTTTTCTGTTTGGAGGAGGGGGTAAAATTCCCTTCAAAGATTATACTGCAGTAAGGGCGTAGAAAAGCCACGCTGTTCTGTTTCTCCTAGGAGCCAGTGTGTAGAGTCTAGGGCTGGAGATCAGAAGACACTGACGTAAATAGTCAAAACAGATTTTAAATCAATGATAGCTGTACATTTAAAAATGCATTGTTTTAAAATTACCAATGCTGTTTTTTAGTTGGAAGCAGTTTAGCAGTAGAATAAAACTTGTTAAAATGTTGCACAAAAATTTAACAGCTGAAGGGAACAATTGATCCTGATTTCATTCATATGCTTTATTTTTAATCTTTCTTTTAGTTGTCAAATCAGGAGGCAATCAAAGTCACCCATGAACAGCACACTGCATTTTGGTTTGACGCGGCCATTTCTACCTTGATAATGATTTATAAGCTGCAGTTTAAAAGACTGATAATGGGGATCTGTCTTTCTGGGATGAATCCTTCCATCTAGCAACTGGTAACTGAGTTCTGTTTGGCAGCAGAGCTGTCGTAATTTTGTGTGTTTTCATTTGCAGCAGGCCAGAACAGCTGTGTACCAGTAGGTTAGCTACTGTTTTCTGGATGAAGGGTTTCCACATCAGTGCCCTTTCAAGATGAATTTTGTAGTTTACATAAGCACTTAAGACACACATTAGTTTTTACTGAAAATGGACTAGGTGAATGATGATTTTTCCACAACAGCGTCACCTAGGAAAACTGGTATTTAAGCAGTAGGAATTCTAATTCTCTTCTTATTGATTCATTCACATTGTGTAATTTTTCAAATTGTGATGTGTTTTGGGCAGTGTCTGAACATGAGAAAGAACTTCTTCCCTCTAAGGGTGACGGAGCACTGGCACAGGCTGCCCAGGGAGGTTGTGGAGTCTCCTTCTCTGGAGATATTCAAGACCCGCCCGGACGCGGTCCTGTGCAGCCTGCTGTAGGTGACCCTGCTTCGGCAGGAGGGGTGGACTAGATGACCCACAGAGGGCCCTTCCAACCCCCACCATTCTGTGATTCTGTGACCTTAGATTGGTCCTTAAGACTAGTATTTATTGTGCTTTTGAGAACCTGTTGCAACATAAAATGCAAGACTTTGACTACAGGATCTAACAGACAAACGTTCTCTGCTGAGAAGAGTTAGATTGTAACAAAATATGTTACGCATTTTTTTGTCTACAAATACAGATACTCTTTCTTTCTGTTCTCTGTGGGCATGCCTATAGTATACCTGGTTTTAGTGCAGGCTGAAATTATCTTCATTACGCCTGTAGAATCATTAAAAAATACTGTTGTTTGAAAGGTGGAGAAAGTGGAGAATTGCAGATGGTTAGTTTTCTTCTGTTAAATAGTAGTTCATTCCATGTAAATTAGATCCAAAGACTTGTCTGGTAGAGAAACTTGCATACTTTAACCATGTTGAAGTACTTAGACTGTTAAAACCTAGTTTAAATGTTGCATTTATGCAGAATATGCTTAAAATTAGAAGCTAATGTGCTGATAAAGGACACCAGAAATGGTAGAGCACATTGCATAGGACTTTCAGCTTTATAACTATTCTTATTTGTTTAGTCTGGTGCAATTTTCCCTAATCTCCATGAGGATTTTTAGATTAAAGGCTGAAGAGCTGAAAAAAAAACAACCCAACAATTGGAGAGAATTTGAGAACACCCAAGTGCTGTTGAACTATGGCACTCATTAGGCTTTTACTTTCAGAGGCTGAGGAGTGAAGTAATTGAGTTCTTGCCATGCAGAAGCAGATTTGAGCCCTGAAAACCTGTACTTAGCTCTAGACAGCACAAAGGGCACAGTTCTGTATACTGCATGCTCAGGTACTGTGACACATTTAAAACGAATTATACTGAATCACTAACAGAATCATTTGATAGATACAATGTTCTTGTACCTGTGTTTTGGGTGAGAGAAGAATGGCTCCAATTAAAAATCTGCCTTTCACGTCATTTTAACTATTTCACTCTGACAGTATTGAGTTAGATCGGTGGTAGCCTAAAACTGTAGACAGTTTATTTGCCCTTGTACAAGTTGCAGAATATCTTAAAACAATTCTGCTTGGGAACAGACGGTATTACCAAGCAGGAATCCAGAGAGGAAAAAAATCTGTTAACTCTGGGCAGTTTGCCAGGGGAGCAATATCTTTGGGTTGTTTGGGGGTTTTCTGTGAGCGTGGTAGACAATTCTGTGTGATATGAACACTGTATTTCCACCAAATCAAAGAAATCTGTTGTGTTGTCGTTACAGCAGGATCAAGTATGCTTGTGGTTTTCTTTGTTTTGGTTTTTTTTCCTTGATCAGAGTCATCGCAAACTGAGGTTGGGACTGTACTGAAAAATACGTGCAAACTCTAGTAATAATTGTGAATAATGTTGAACTAACAGGTCTTGATGAAAGAATTATAGTTTATAATAAATGTTTCAGCAAAGCAAGTTAGTTGAGTCTTCTTTTCTTTTTTTTTAATCTTTTCCAGGATCAAACTTGAATCGCTGTGGATTCAGAGGCTCTTCATATTTAGGGATGCCATTCAATCCCTCCAAGGTTGGTTAAATGTGTATGCGTGAAATATTTTCAATTTGTAAATAAATAATCTTGTGTCTTTTTTATAATGTTAACTGCATGATTATGACATTTTTGCATGGTTAATATGCTGAAATGTTTGCAGGACTTTTAGGAAACATACATAAGAGACATACTAAAATGGTACTGCTTGAGTTTCCAGGGCAGTGAAGAAATCATCGTACAAATTCTGGCTGTTGGTGCACTCCCCCCTGCTCTAATCTGTTACTGAAGCAGGGAAACTTCTTTAACTGAAGAACTATCACCTGGTAGGGATTAGCTCCATATTACGCGGTGCAGCACGTGCTGTTCTTTGGTATTCCTCTTCCTGTGATGAAACACGTGTGTTTGATTGCAGCTGTTATCCATTTGAACATAGGCAAGTGTCTGCTCATCCCAGATGTCGTGACTGTAAGAGAGGATGCTTTGAAGCCCATAGAACTGAGGTTCAACAGAGTTAAATCTGTATACGAAAAGAAAGTGCCTTCAATACAAGAGAGAAAGGAGGTTAGCAGAGGCTGCTAAAGATAGTACAGAAGGTCTGATACATTTGGAAGAGGGAAGTAGAGGCCAGCGTTTAGGAAGGACTGTGAAAGAGGTACAGTAGTTATGTGTTTGGAGTGGAGTCACATCTCACTGAAGAATGGATGAAAAATCTGGAAGAGCACTAAATTATCACCAAGTATTTGATTTTTATAGTGGACAGATAGCAAGCTTTTAAATATAAATGAATGAAAGAATCATGGGATCTGAAATTGGAAGCAAGGATGGACATCTGATACACTATTGACTGTAGTTTGATCTAAAAATGCTTGAACTAACTGGAGTATGAAGGTAGTACAGCAGCCTGTTTTTGCCTTATATTTGTTTACAGTTAACAGCATAACTTTATGATTCTGAAGAACTTGTGGGAATGATAATCTACGTTGGAGCGATAACTGCATATGCCTCTTAGTATATAGCAAGTCAGCCAAGTACTAGTAGCAGAAATATGCAGGGGTTATGCTTTCTAAAAAGGGAAAGATAGTTGTGAAGAGGGTTTTTTAAATCTCTACACTAGGTGCTACAGCAGCGTGTTGACAGGCAAGGTAATTTGTCTCTTGGTTTGTTTTGGTATTTACCCTGTTTTACACTACAGATGGTGTCTGCGGTGAGCTCGGACTGTAGTAGCAAGATGAATTCATCATCTGTTTTAATTGGAATTAACCTGAGTGGCAGTCCAGCCACCCACTGAGCTTGAAGGAAAAAGGGAAAACTTCTGCTTAAAGCCTAAAACAATTTGGGATCTGTAGTGGTGATTTACTGGGATACTTTGTTGTAAATAAAGTTTGAAGACAAAATAGTAAACAATGGTTTCAGTATGGTCGTATAAGAAAAAGACTGGTTTTACTCAGAAGGAAGATGGTTGTCTTTGATAACAGTCACCTAAAGAAGTTGAGGTTGTCATGCTATTATTGTGGCATAACAGCATTATAAAATGAATAAAGACATATTTTTGCCAAACTGAGCTAATAAAAATGTCAGTCATGTTTCCTCAAAGGTTTGGGTCAGTGCTATGTGGTGTAGTACATTAAATGAGTGCATTTTTTTGGGAACGTTTTTTTCATCCTGCCCAGTGTGTAAAGCTTGAAGAGTGAGTTCTGAATATAGTTCTGGGATCTTGTAAAGGCCTGTGAAGACAAAAAGTCCATAAGATCAGCAAAGCATCATTATTCCTTCCCAGCACTTTCTGGTGTTTTAATTTAAGTCTCAACTTCCAATAGTGCACGCTTCATACTTAAGTATTCTCTTTTCAGGAAATGTGTTGTGGCCCATCAGTGTCTCATAATGTGTAAACAATCTGCAGAAGGGACAAAGGGGTGGAATCATATAACTTGTGGAAATTAGCTACAAGGTCATTATCTCTAGAAAACTGTTTGCAGATGTATGTCCTATTTGTTCAAGCATTGCAATACTTTTTTCATTGCATCTGCATTGGAGGGATCAGAGCTGCTTGATTTATTGGCGTACAAAGGTTTTAAAGTATTTCCAGCACTGTTGCCCTGAAATGTTCTGAAATAACTTAGAAAGACTTGGAAATCCTTTGCGTAGGCTTTCAATTATGTTTAAGGTCTTGTCATTTTTGTTTATTCGTCATTTAAAAATGCTCTATAGAACCTATGTCTTGGAAAATAATTTTGAAAAAGCCTGTAAATGTTTTGGATTTGCATTGGCATTTACTATTTATTACATGCCACTACAGTGATTTCATTCTTGAACTCTGAGAAAGTGCCATATCAGATGTAGCCAAAACTCTTCTGTCACTAGGGACCCTTCAAAATAATAGAAAAAAGCAAAGGATATGTTAGAATTTCCAACTTTATTAAATATTACCAGGATAGCTCATTTGATTTTGGTTTGGGGTTTATTTCTTCAGCCATTTTCCTTTCAGTGTTTGGTGGTAGTGTCTGTGCAGCTCTTTGGGACTGTAGCAAAAGTGAAGCAACCCCATATCCACTTGACCGACTCCCCACACACAGTCTTAGCAGGCTGTAACAGTCTTAACTGTAAATGAAGGCTCAGAGTGTCACTTCTATCACTGCATTTAAATATGAATCATTTAAAATTAGATAACGGTTATTTTCTAAAATGGCTCCAGGTTCTGCAGTCTCTCTGATTTGGTGTTACTGGAGTTTAAACTAGCTTTTCAGTTAGGGAAGAACAATCAGAGTTTCAGATGGGCCTATGTCATTTCAGTCTCTTCACACTGTTACGAAGGAGTTTTATGGGCTAGATTGAAAGCCGGTACCTGGAACTTTGTTGTGGTAAATAACATAAGTTTTCGCTTGGGGAGGGGAAAGATCTGTTTTGTGTTCCTGAGACAACATTGTATTTTCTCGAGGCTGAAACAATCCGTGTTTGTAACACTGATGCCGAGTGTGAGAAGAATGCTTTCTGAAAGTGGGACTCTGCCTGCGTAGGAGTACATTTGGTATTGTTTGGAGAGATCTTGCCCCATGCCTTTGCAGCAGAGAGAGTTTCTTAGCCCTCTTTGCAGTGGTTAGCAGGAATTGTTGGTGACCATGAGCTGTGTTTAAATAGCTGTTCTGGATAATGAGGGAGGGAACATTAGGATGTCACTGTACCAGATTTACATGTACTCCCTCTCAGCTTGGCATCTGTAAGTGTTAATTCTTTTAAGGAAGGTTCAGATTGTGCAGACCGCAATGGTAACTCCCACAGAGCAGGACTGTTTTAGTCCATCGCTGAGAGCCAAGTTAATCTGTTTCCTGTATGACCTGCAAACTGTAATTTTCACCAAAGGTGAAGTGTATACAGAGGGCAGGACCTGGCCGTATCCCCATTGTTGTATTCTCAGAGTATGTCTGCACCAGCATATTGGTTCAGATCAGTACAGAGCACTTTAGAACAGTAGTCAATGTGCTTGCTCCAAAAGAGTGAGACACACAGAGTGAGCTCCTTTTAGTGGTAACTGAACCAGAATGAACTTCTCCTTTAGTGGGCTGTTAGTCCATGAAGCCAGACTACGGCTGGCACGAATTGTGAAATGCACATAACATGGGCACCAGTACCGCTGCAGCGCCTGTTCTGCCCTCCTAACCCACTCCTGTTGTGTTATTCCTTCGCGTAGACATAACCTTACTGGATGCAGTGTATTTCTTCTGATTGTTTAGTCTAAGTGTTTAACAATCCATACACAGTTTAATAGCTTTCTTGTTGCTAGTTTTTGAGATGTAAGTTCTACCATTCTTAAAATAACTTCATTCTGTTTATCTCTGTCCTTGGCTCATGAAACTCACGGTTTGAGGTGGTGGCAGCAGTGGGGTTTTTTATGCTTGGGCTGACAGTATACATAGGTGCTACTGTTGCTTTAATCTGGAATGTCTATGAGGCAGAAATAGTTATATTTCACTAAAAGTCATCTTTGTTCATAATACAGAACTTAAAAAGCAACTTCTTTTTACCAAGCCTGAAGATGCCGGTTAAAAATCAGCTGCTTTGACTGTGGTGTGTTTGATAAATTTGGGACAAATTTCTACACAATGACGGAATTGCTTTGTCACAGAATCACAGAATAGTAGGGGTTGGAAGGGACCTCTGTGGGTCATCTAGTCCAAC